ACTAAGTCTAGGTTTGTGCCTTTTTAAAGTTGGCTATTGACGACCCTGTCTTTCCTTTTTTAAAAAATAGCAAAACACCGAATTGCTCATAAACCTCACTCCAAACCAAAAACTTCAGATATTTTTGAAGCAGATTTTGCAAATGATGTAAAATCCAAGGATTTGCTTGCTGATAAGGAACTGTGGGCTCGACTTGAAGAACTAGAGAGACAAGAAGAATTGCTGGGTGAACTTGATAGGTACCTAAAGATAAATTATCTTTCCAAGAGAATTTGTTTCTATACACATTTCCTTATTAATCTTTTTCCTCATTAATAAAATGTGCTCATTGAAGAAAATACAGAAAAGCATAATATATTAAAATATCAATAATTCTACCACCCTAAAATAAATATTAATTCTCCAGAATATTTTCTGGTGGTGCTGTGTGTTCATGCACATGCCCATACATGTGTATGTACAGAAATACTTAAAATCAGTATTGTTATTTTTTTGATTGCAAGATTTCAGCCATATTTTATATATTAAAGTACTAAGATATACCATATAGTTAACTTATAATAATTATGAATGTTTTATATATTACATTTTAAGTGAAGTATTTTTATTCTGTAGTCAGGATAATGCTGTATGTTTGAATGACTGGTTAAAAGAAAAATTTGCTTTGAATTTGTTTGTTACTATAAAATGTTTATCCTTGCAAACTTTTCTGTTTATTGAGCAGGCAGTTTGTAATCTGGTCAGGTAGTTATATATATGAAAACTTGACCAAACTGCTGTTTAAAATGCACATTAGCGCTCACTTAGAACCGTCAGAGTGCTCGATGGAGTCTGCTACTACAGAAGTTCTTATGATTCTGCCTGAATGATGTAGCGTATGCAGTAATTAGTTTCTTTGAAAATGACGTGAAGCACAAAGGATATTTTTTTTCCCACCATTTCACCTATAAATTCTTAGGTCTTTTTGATTAACTGATACTATTTCAGTTTTTAAAATTAGTTTTGAATCTTGTGATTTTCTTGGTCATGATTCTCTTGCTATTTTTGTATGATGTTATTTTGGTTCTATTGCATTTTTGGTTTTGTTATTTTTATAAGGTCCTCAAATCCTCTGTAGAATGAAGCGTGAAAAATGTGCGTGTGTATGTATAAATATAATTATATTCACGTGCATATATATAAATCTTTTGTTTTTTAAAATTATAATGCGTGCTTGTGAAGTATTCTGAGTATAGAAATAGATAGAAAATAAGAATGTATTCATGTTCTGTGGCTTTAATTTCTGATCTTTAAATAGAGATACATACTCTATGAATTTCTTACAAATTTCTGATTGTATTATTTATTATATTCATATTGTATATGGCCAGTATCCTCCTTACAAATGAAAAAAAATATCGTCTACTATATTCTACTTATGTTTGAATAACTACAGCATACAGAATTAGCACAGATACTAATTTTTTTGTTAATTTATATCAAAATATTTTTAACCTAGAATTCTAGTCAAAAAAATATACTGTTGAAAAATCTTAATTTTTACCCATTGAAATGAACATAATTAGAATATGTAAAATTCTAGTGTATTTGTTTGATCTTGTCAATTTTCTTTTTTTTCTTTACTAGTAAGCCTGATTCTGTGATTGCAAATGGAGAAGATACAACGTCTTCTGAAGAAGAAAAGGAAGATCAGAACATAAATGTGAATGTGACGCATCAAGTAACAGACTCTGTTACTCCCAGCAGTTGTTATGAGGATGTCACAAATTCAGAACTGTTCAATGGTCAGATGGATAGTCAATTGAACTGTTCAATGAATGGTTCAAATTCTTATCACTGTAATGAAGATGATGATGATGATGATGATGATGATGCTGGTGGTGATGATGCTGGTGGTGGTGGTGATGATAATGAAAATGACCATGATGCTTTAGGGGTTGGAGATAATTCTATACCAACAATATATTTTTCTCATACTGTCGAACCTAAGAGGGTTTGTATACTTTTCACTTTACTAATTTTGTATATAATTTGAACATTAAACATAATCTCCGATATTCTTTAAAAGAACAGTATTAACGGTGATTAATATTGTTGATAGTGCCAGACAGGAAAACCATTTTTTGCCTCTTATTCTGATCAATTTATCTAAAAAGGAAAAGGTAAAAAAAGTCTTGGTAGTTAGCTCGTATTGGTCTATTCTGTGAAGCTACGATAGAATTTGAATTGTTTGGGGTCTAGAAGGGGATCAGATTTGAGTGGCAACTACTGTAACTCCCTCTGTCCTTCATTCAGAGAGTTTTCTTAAGAATTCTAGAGTTAATTATATTGTGGGCGTTTTGATATACTTACGATGTTGAAAGTGACTGCATTGCTTAAATTTTTAATTATACCAGGTTGTTGTTTTCTATGTGGGCATAAAATGAATAGGAGCATCATGAGCAAAAAGAAAAAATTTAGGAGGAAGTAAAAATTAGTTCCTTTTCTGACAAAGTAAATATAAACATCTGTGGGTAATCATGACTTTAGAATTTTGGCATTTTAGAGCTGGGGGTTACTGTAGAGATCTTCTAATACAGGATTTTTAAGCTTTTCTTTAGTATCAAAAGACTTGTTGTTCCCTGCATACTTATTGTAGAATCCCAGTATTTAAAATAGATCAAAGCAGGTTGGCTGTGGTTGAGAGAAGGATAGCCCACCTTAAACCCATTCCCTTACCCTCTCTCTGCTCCGCAGTGCTGCTCTAAGGAGCCACCAGGAATTCACCTTTCTAATTTGCTTTCTCAAGGAAGCCTAAGGCCTAGAAGACCACAGAGCTGGTTAGTAATGACGCAGGGCCTCCTTGGTCTCAGTTTAGTGCTCTTTCTACCGCAGGCATCCCTGCAAGGTGGCCTGTATCAGAGTTAAGGGGCTATGGTATCAGTCTTAAGTGTCTGTGATTATTGTTTAATGAAACGTATTTAAAACATATTTGATATTCTTAGGTCCCGTAAGTCATTCCTGCTGTAATATGAAGTGAAATAATTATATGGTTTTCTTATGTTCTAATACTTCAGACCAAAGGGAGCATCTTATGAATTCTTTGGAAAAAATTGACTGATTAGCTAGAAAAAAAAGTTTGTTTAGTGATTCTTTTTTTAGGCTTTAAATTTTTTCTTATTTTAATTCAGGTAAAACAGGAAGAATAAATAATATTTGCAAGAATGTTATGGGGAAGAGTAGTCATTAATGTGGAAAGTGTGGTATAAGTGCCAAGTAGGGATAGAATAACATATTAATCCTGAACAGGGTTGGTTTTTATTTTTTAGTTTGATTTCTAAAAATTAGAGATATTTTAAAAATTCTAAATAGTTAAACATTATCTAATATTGCTTCTATGACTTAAATTTTATGTTCTTACCAAATATTTCTTTTGGTTAATTGTACTCTGTGTTTTGAAATGCATGATTTAAGCCAAAAATTTATATCAAAGTAATGGGGTGATGTGAAAGCTTATAATAAATCTAGCATTAAGTTTAAATGTATTTTGCTTTCTATACAATAATAAAGTCACTGAAGACTAGAATTGGTCGTAAAAGAGGATGTAATTTAATGCTGTAAAAGTATGTTAAGGTAAGGACTTTTTAACCCTATCTGATAATGTACATCATTTCAGTGTCAAAAAATTTAAACTGCCTCTCTTACTATTATTTCTTTAATTATAGAGTTTATGTGTTTTAGTTTTGGCCTTGATTTAATTTCTCAAAAGGATTGTAATTTTTTGCTGTGAAATTTTTAGGTCCGAATAAATACTGGAAAAAATACCACTTTAAAATTCAGTGAAAAGAAAGAAGAAGCCAAACGTAAACGCAAGAACAACTCTGGCAGTGGCCCCTCTGCCCACGAGCTGCCTCCCATCAGGACTCCTGCTGACATTTACAGGTGAGTGTGTTCACAGATGGCAGAGCAACCCGCTGGGCCCTTCCCTCGTTTTGCAACCGAACGTTCACAGGGAAAGGGTGTCTGTAGCACCGAAGGCTCTCACTGGAAAGGGAGGTATTCAGGTAGGATCAGCTTAGTATTTTAAACGCTTTCCCGGAAGCTACTGAGCCACCACAGCTTCCTAGTCCAAAACAATTGGAATGTTGCATGATTTTTCCCTTTCTCTCCTCTTTGCCAGTGCTTTTAAAACGTTTCCAATCGATCTAGTCAAAAATGGTGTGTGTCAGCTTTATAAGTGGGAGCCTGTGTCTAGGGCTGGGGCGGCACTCTCCCACCACGGGCTGTGGTGACGCTTGGCGTGCAGTTCCCCTTTTCACAGAGTAGAAGTTAGGTCTTCTGTCCCAGGGTTTTGTTGTATTGTTTGCAGAGAAAGCTGTCATTTGAAAATACCTACTGTTTTCATGACCCATATTTGTAAATGGTGAAACTTGCTAAATATCTTTTAAGTAGGTCTAAATTATATGTAGAATTTGGCAAATCAAGCTATTGTCACCCAGAACATGCTTATAAATAAAGTGCTGTATTTTATTAGACAAAAAAAGTCATATTTTTCAAAATAGTATAAAATACATCATTTGAGGTGACAGAATTATTGTGATTGTGAAAATTTTAGATATGTTTGAATAAAACATTTCAGATTAATTTCAAGAAAAGATTTTTAAAAATCGTGAATTTGTCCTCAGTTTATGAGTTGCCTAAAGTGAGTGTCTATTTCTTGGCTGTTACAGAGTCTTTGTGGACGTTGTGAATGGAGAGTATGTCCCCCGTAAGTCGATCCTGAAGTCTCGCAGCCGAGAGAACAGCGTATGCAGCGACACCAGCGAGAGCAGCACGGCGGACTTCGATGACAGGCGGGCAGTTTTGAGGAGCCTCAGCTGTGAAGAGGCCACTTGTAGTGACATGGGCGAGCGCGTCCTGGAAGAGGAGCAACACGAGCATCGTCAGAAGAAGCTTCTGCCCTCCTCAGGAGCACCTGAGGTGTGTGTGTCCTTAACTCTTGCTTTCATGTGCCACCTGTGACAGTCCCTGTGAGATAGAAAGACTGGGAGCTCCAGTCCAAAGGGGCACATAATTCATTTTCCCTATTCACATAGTTAATGTTTAGAGTTGAAAAGATATTTCTTTAAAAGAGGCCCTCTTCTCCTTTTTTAAAAATTGCAGCTGCTCTCTCTCCCAAGTATGGTCTATAAATCATTGATTTTATTGTCCTTAAGTTATTTTATTTTATATAATTATTTATTGAAGTTAGTCAACTGCATAATAACATTGTTTATCTTGTAGCTTCTTTAGTTTATACATATATTTAATCTCAAAAGTCATAGAACCTAATTAATTCTAAGCTTGTAGTTTTTTGATAATTTATAAAAAATTAATAGTCTCTAGCAAACACAATGCAAGTATTATGATATGAAAATAGTTCAAATATTTTTTTTTTTGGTAAAAATATTACCAGTCTTGAAGTTCTGTTTCTGTGAAATAGGAATTTTTAAAATATCTTAATTAGCACATGTATTACATTTTTGGCTAGAAAATCATTTAGCAGCTTATTTTAAATAAATCACTGCTAGACCAGATTATAGTCCTTTTATTATAGTTCACGTGGCAGATTATACTTTTCTCTTTTAAATGCCTTGATTGAGTTAAAGAAAACATATATACACTGTAGGTAATTATCTGAAGTCCTTCTGTGTTTTGGCCTGTGCCAGTGAAATTTTTAACTTTATGTAAAAAGATATATAAAGATATATCCTGGGTTGTATTTCTAGCATTTCTTACATATTACTTTTGTTCCAATTAAACATACAGTTGACCAAATTAAGTCCAGCAAACATCCAGTTGAAATTAAAGAATTATTTTTTGTGGAGCCTGTGATTTCTATCATTGAATTAATATTAAATTTTGAGACTGACGCTTATTTCCAATAGTATCAGCACTTTCATTTTTCAGTTTCCACTGATCTCTTAAATAAAATTGAGGCAAGATGCAATAAAATACTCAAATAATTGCATAAATGAACACCACCTAAGAGATGTCACCACTGCTGAAACTAAGCTATTGGTTAGCAGGCACCATGGCCACCATAGCATAGCTCATTCATCAGGTGATGTTTGACACCCTAATAGCACTTTTTATTTTAATATGTTATTTTTCACAGCATGGTCTGACATAAATGGAATGTATGCAAGCTGAGGACCTTTTATTTACTCTTTTTTGTTAATTCCAGGTAGAACATGTGTTTTACATTTTGTTCTCTTGCATGTGTACTATAAAAATCTACTTATATTTGCTAGTGTAATTAAGATATATTTTAATGGGGGGATGGCCCAGTGGCGTAGTGGTTAAGTTCACACACTCCGCTTTGGCGGCTCGGGCTTCACAGTTTCCGATCCCGGGTGCGGACCTATGCACCACTCATCAGATCATGTTGTGGTGGTATCCCATATACAAGATAGAGGAAGATGGGCACAGATGTTAGCTCATGGCCAATCTTCCTCACCAAAAAAATAAATAAATAGAAATGTATATTTTGATGGCACTTGATTTCTCTGAACAATTTATATTTTGATGTTATAGTTTTGTCTATTTTCTAAAAATCTTATGAATTTACTTTTAATGGAAAGAAATGTCTAATTGACAAATACAGGATAAAGATTTTGTGGGCATCTTATTTGCATTTTATTACCGTAATCTGACTTTTGTCTTCTAGGCTTTTTCTGGAACTGTAATAGAAAAAGACTTTTTATCGCCCTCCTTACCACCACACCCAGCCATGGCTCATCCTGTGCTACCCACTATTCCAGAACGAAAAGAAGTTCTGTCAGAAGTATCAGAAGAAACCGCAAAGAGGGTTTCAAAGTTCAGAGCTGCCAGATTGCAGCAGAGAAACTAAAGCCTGCCTAGGAAAAGGGAGTTTACATCCTAAAACCTAGTTTCTGTAGAATATATATATAGAGAGAGCAAACTGTGTTACATGTAGTTTGAAATAAGGCATCCTGAGTTAATTTGGCAGCAAGTTCTCTTACTCTCATCAGTGATATTAAAAAAAGTCAAAGTAAATGTTTGATTACTTTCATGTTCAGCTGCTTGTGTTAATTCTCTGAATACTGTCAGCACTCTTGTCTAAGTTTGCCGTATGATGCAGTGGGAGCATTTCGAAATATTTTTCAAAGAATACTTCATATGTATTGTTTTTGTGTTTTGAACTAAATACAGGCAGTTTTGTACCAGCTGTGATGGTTGTGCATACCATATGGACCATTTTAAAGAAACTTTTAAGATTTCAAATAGATTCAACAATTATATTACTTGCTTTAGCATTTTAAAGGCACTTTAAAAGAATCTACTTCTTGTAGGTTTTGCAGCTAGGTGGCTATTTACAAAACCTCTCCCCTTTGACTGCGGTTTGGTAATCTTTAAGGCAGAAAGCTACATGTACCCCATGGGGAAGTGTCTTTGATTGGAAGAATGGTACTTTGTAAAACATTTTTTTTCAAGTAAAAATTTTTGAAACTCGGTCTCTAAAATATTGTGGACTTTATGATTTAGAATTGAATATAGAAATGTCTTTGATTCATATATGTGTTACATGCACCACACAATGGATCCTTGAATTCTTTTTACAATTGCATAGGCAATTTTCTCCCCTAGTGTGTGCAGTTTTAACTGGCATTATATTTTGGGAGAGAAGGAAAGGTTGTCCAGATGCTTAAAAAAACAGATTTTTTAAATAATAAATTTTATGTTTTAATCTTCCCAACATTTTTATTCTCTAAGGCTACTTTCCTACTAGTAAATAATTGAAATAACATTACTTTTAGCAAAACTCCTTAAAATAAAGAGAAATTTATTCTATCATTGAAAATTACACTGCAAGTGTTAATCATTAGCTTGATGCCTGCTAAAATGTAGCTTTTAGAAAGCATTTTGCGTTAGTACTAAAATAAGCCATCAATGCCAGTCCACCCTCTATTCATGGCTAAATATTTAAAGGTTTATTTATAGTTTCTTTAATGAATTCTTGCTTAAACAAAGTGAAATTATGTCCCAGAAAAGTACAAGCTATTTGTAACTAGAACAGCCCAACTGTAAAAGTTTTATGAATATGTATTTTAATAATAAGGGGGTGAGCCTGATCACCCCACAAGTTAGAGGATAAATCAGAAAAGAGGAGTGATTTTGAAAGATGACCTAAAAGTGAAGATTTGTTCTTTAGTAAATTTTCATCAACTGTGCATATATTTTCAGTTAAAAATGTTTTTTCTGTCAGCCCATCCCTCACAAAAAAACAAACCAAATCAAACCAAGAGTACAATTATATACACGCAAAGGAGCCACCAACTGCAACTGCTGTTCAAGTGGGCGTTTCTATGCTAGATTTCCCCAGAGACAAACTTGATTGTGAGACTGTTGTGACATTCTTTACAGACATGTAATTTCAAGAGTACTGTCATTAAATAATTTTTCATGTTCATGAACTTCATTTTGAGCCTGTTGTTGTTTATGTTGTTTATGTTACTTCTTGCAAGTAGATGTTCTGGTAGAAGAAGATGGTGGTAGAAGCAAAGACCAGGTGTTAGGTAACGTTTTCATATGTTCTGCTGAACACCAAACGAAGTAGTGTTGCCCCCTTGAAGTAGTGTTGCCCCCTCTGTTTCATAGCTTCAGTCTTGTAACAGAGTGGCAAATTGTAACTTAACATTACAGCTTTATTTTTCATATTAAACTCAAGTTTCATTGGGATAAAATGAAGCTGGTCTTAAGTGTTCTTTTTTAAACTATTGTAAAACAGAACAGAAGACTGAGAATTTTTTTTTAACTTTATATTTTGAACTAATTTTTGACCTACAGAAAAATTGCAAAAATAGTACAGAGTTCCCATATACTCCCTCATCCAGCTTTCCCTAATATTATAACATCTTGTATAATCATAATACAGTTATTAAACCAGGAAATTTACATTCCTGGTGCAATACTATTAACTAATCTACAGCTCTTATTTGAATTTCACCAGCTTTTGCACTAGGTGTTCTTTTTCTGTCTGAGGGTCCTATCTAGGATCCTGCCTTGCATTTGTTATTGCTCCTTAGTCTCCTCTGGTCTCGGACAGTTCCTTGATTTTTCTTTGTCTTGCATGACTTTGACATTTTTGAAGAGTACTAGTCAGGTATTTTGTAGGATAATCCTCAGTTTGGGTTCGTCTGATGTACTCACATGATTAGAAGGAGATTTTGCATTTTTCACAGGAATACCACAGAAATGTGTCATATCAAGAGGTTCACATCAGAGATGCATTCTAGTGTGTCATTTCAAGAAGTCCATGATTCCGATATGTCAACCTTGATCACTTGGTTAAGATGGTGTCTGCCAGATTTCTCCACTATAAAGTTACTGTCTTTTCCTTTGTAGTTAGTAAATAGCTTGGAGCAGATACTTTGAGATGATGCAAATATTGTTTTTCTCCTTAAACTTAAGCTGACTAATTTTTGCATTCTTTGGTGGATCTTGTCTGCAACAGTTATTACTGTGGTTTTTGCCTAATGGTGATTTTCTGTTTTGCCGTTTTACATTTATTTCTTAGAATTTTTTTGTAATGAAAAGCTGCGCCATCCCCTCCCCTCGTTTATTAATTTATTTGATTATTTATATCAGTATGGACTCAGATTTTTATTCTGTGGGTTAAAATCCAATTATTGTTTTGTTTGCTCACATTGTTCTACATTTGACCATTAGAAACTTCTCTGAGTTGGCTCCTGAATTCTGTCAACAAGTACCCATCCTTTTTTGAACACTTTCTGACACCATAAAATATTACAGACTTATCTGGTATTTTTCCTGCCCCAGCCTTGGAATCATCAACCACTTCTACAAGGAGCCGTTCCTTGTTCCTTTTATTGGAGAATTGTGTTTAAAAACCAACATCTTCTCATGTAGGTGTGTATATTGCCCTTGGGTGTCATTGCTTCTAGGCCTTTTCAGCAGATGGAGCTAGGAAATCATGTGTACTAACTAATGCACGTATCTGTATTTATATATTTGTTTATGTATCTTAAAAAACATGAGTTTATACTGATATTTCTGATTCCAGGCTAACGCCACAGGATTCATTTACGTTTTTCCTTGTTTGTGACTTCTTTCTCAAGAAGAAACCTGGCTCATATCTACAATGTATTTATTTATTTTTTAAAATCTAGTACACATAAAAGTAGTTTCAGAGTACTAATCCTTACCCCCAGGAGAAACATATTTATTAACTATATTGCATTATTTATGTTCAGTTCATTTTTTTCTTTAGCCTTGTAAGTATCAGTCAAGAAACTGTTTTCCAAGGTAGTTCTTTTCTTTGCCACCCCCTTTGTTGTCTTTATTTTTAATCTGTAATACAGTTAGGTTCATTTGTTACTGTTTGTGTTCCATTTTGGATACTCTCCACATCCTGGTTGGTTTTAATGGTTTATTTGGGGGTATGTGAAGGGTATGTGAAACATTAATGTGGTTCTAAGAGTCACAGCTATGTAAAAAGATAAACAGAAAAGTGTCACTCCCTCCTCATTCCTGCTATCCCATCTTCTTTCTATCACTTCCCCACCTACCCAGTGTAAGTAACCAGTCTCTTTATTTTCTGGCTTAACCTTTTTGTATTTCTTTTGCGTAAATAGATAACGTGTATTTTCTTATATTCTTTTCTTTCTTAAGTGAAGGATGACATATGTAACTTCTCCATTGCACTTTAATATTTTCCAATGGTATGGTCTAATAATCACTCTATATCAGTTTGTGGAGATCTTCCTCTTTTTTTTTTTTTTTTTTTAACAGAGATATGTAGTACTCACGTGTGTAGATGAAGCGTAGTTTATTCAGCCACTTTCCTATTTAGGTTTCTGATATTTTGCAGTTAAAAATAATGATGCAATGAATAACTGAAAAATAAATGAATGTATTTTTGTATTGTTGGAGGTGTATCTTCAGGCTAGATTATTAGAGGTAGGTTTGATGGGCCATCTGCACAATTACTATATAATTTCTTTTGTAAACACAGTGATGTGTTGTTAAATATATTTGTTGTTCTCTGATTAGGGACATGGTTTAACACATACACTTGCATATCTGCATTTCATTCATTCTTTGATAATAACTTTGGGACACTATAGTGTTCTAAAGGGATTTCAAAATCGTTATGGAATATTAAGTATAGTGATTATGTTCATTTTGCTATACTTTGATTTTCTTTTGGTCATGCATGTGAGAGCTTTGGAATATTCACTGGAATATTTCCAAATTTATAAAATACAGATACTTCATTGTATTAGATTTATTTTTCTCCTCCATAAGCAGCAGCTTTTCAAGGATGCTAATCTTCATCTGTGTATTCTTTTGGTGAGTGGCCTGTAGGCTTTCAATTAAATGACTGTAAAATGAATTCTTCAACAACAATAAATATTTATGGTTATATGTTTAATCCATTGGTCAATATTGGCAAGTTTTTACATTTTAAAATGCTTTCTCAGTTATTTAAATTTCATTTTAGGGGGACATTGTTTAGAATAAGAAGTTTTTGCAATTCACTTAACCAATGAATCGTAAAGAATTAAATAATATTTTTGAGCACTTACTATGTGTCAGGCATTTTCTATGTATTTTGTATGGATTATTTCATTTAATGCTCACAGCAGCCCAGTGAGGTAGGTACTATTTTTTTGTCCTCTTCTCCCCTCCCCCTTTTAGAGACGAGGAAACTAACTCCGAGAGAGATTAAGCAACACAACTGCAGGCATGCCTTGTTTAATTGTGCTTCGCTTTATTGTGCTTTGCAGATACCGCGTTTTTTACATGACCCTCCATCAGCAAAAAGATTATGACTTACTGAAAGTTCAGATGATGGTTAGCATTTTTTAGCAATAAAATATTTTTTAATTAAGATATGTACATTGTTTTTTGAGACAGTGCACACTTAATAGACTGCAGTATAGTGTAAACATAGCTTTCGTATGCACTGTGACTTGCTTATTGCGACACTCTGGAACGAACCTGCAGTGTCTCCGAGGTGTGCCTGTGTTAAGGGGTAGAGTTGGAGTTCAAACCCAGGCAGCTTTGCTCCAGAAGCAGCACTCTTCTTCTCTTCTTCTTACTTTTAAATTGTTTGCCCTCTGAACAAGAGCAGGTAACTAGTAAGGGAATGTGTGACCTGTATACTGTCTTTATAATCTTGCGTATTCATGATGAGGTCGCCTTTTAAACAGTCTGAATTGGAAACCTGCTTTGTCTTGTACTTCACACGGTAAGAAAGTTTGTGTTGCCGTGGTGGGTGGAGGTGGAGTTACAATGGTGTTATCTGGCCATATGCATGAAGGAAAGGAATGTGCAGATGGAGAAGAGCAAAAGTAAGAGAAGTGATCAGTGTAACAGTATTTCATTGAAAAACTACTCATTCTTTAATGTGAATTTAGGCATTATGTGCATTTAAGTATAGAATTGGTATGTTTATAATCCAGTGGCCTCATAGTGACCCTTTCTATCCCTAA